AGACCTTTCACCAGATATTGTGATTAGTCTATTGCAGATAAGACTGCAGAGACAGTAGCTAAAGTGTTTAAAGAACGCATTATCTGCAGGTATACCACCCCTAAGTCCCTAGTAACAGATAATGGAGGTGAATTCTGTAATGAGATTCTTGAAAATTTGTGTACCTTGTACAAGATCTCTAAATCCACCATTGTTCTCATCATCCTGCCAGCAATGGGTTAGCGGAAACGTACCAAGAAGAAAGTACTTGATGTCTTGAGAGCCACTATCAATTCAAAGTGAAACTTGGGATGAAGTTATACCTGATGTGCAGTGTGCTATAAATTCTGCTTACAATGTTTCTATAGGTGACACTCCACATGCTGCATTGTATGGTGTAGACAAGCATTTACCTTATGAGTTGTTATTTTCCACTCTGAAACCCATTACAACTCTGATGATTTCATAGCAACTTGTACCAGCTTAGCTCAAAGCGTCTTTAGAAGAATCCGTGTGAAACACTTCATAAATCAACAACAGAATTTACAAGAGTCACAAACACTCGAGCAAAGCTGACCAAAATTACAGTAGGTTCAAGAGTTATGCTGACTAACTTTAACAAAACGTCTGCAATGCCTAACTTGAATCAAAAGTTTGTTGGTCCTTATTGAGTTACGTAGTTGAAACATATAAATGGAAATAAGTACAGGTCGGCCATCACTAATCTGGCATCATTGAGACCTGCAGTGTGCTGTATTAGTGAGTTTGCCAGATTACAGAGTGGTTAGGTTAGAATACACTTAATTAACCTATCAATAGAGTCTCTTTCTGCTTATCTTCCTCATTGTCATCACTGCTGTCTCCTCCCTGGCTTGCTGCTGTGGATTTATAACCATCTGCATGATTTCTGAGTCAGTATAATGATGAAATTTGAAAATTATGCTAGCTGAAATTAGTGCTCGATTACTGATGGAACCGGAATAACTGTTAGAGAAATTAGTACTGGTCAGTATAAAGAATTGCATTTAGATCATATGAAGTTTAGTATGTGATGATAATGATGTTCCAACCCAGGACTAATGTGACAGCCGTCTGACAGTCCTCCTGACTCTGTACTCTCTACCTCTAATACTCAGTCAGACGATCAGCCTGAATGTCATTATTCCCTACTTACACGACAATGTATTGAGAAATCCTCAAGTATCATTTGTAAATACCAATTCAGACCTAGTTATGATTTGAACGCCGCTCGCCCTCCAGGCACTCGGGCAGCTCAGTTCAAGTAGAGACGTTTAATAGACGGCAGGTCAGGCTTGGCGGGTTCCTCCCTAGTACCCATAATAATGTTATCATTCGTTCAAGTTTGTGATTTTACCCAATTCAGCATACGAACCCCCACATGACAAGTTATCAGTGTGAGTCAGTTATCAGTGTGAGTCAGTTATCAGTGTGAGTCAGTTATCAGTGTGAGTCAGTTATCAGTGTGAGTCAGTTATCAGTGTGAGTCAGTAAGTAAACAAAGTGTACCAGGGGTAGGGATAGAACCCTTGATCAGAGTCATCAGTACCGTGTGAGGTGACGTCTAGTCTCCTCCAACTCTTACACATTCTTCATGTCTTCTAAATCAAAATTTTACAAATATATACTCACCATTTTCATCCATGATCCAGAACCATGTATACACTCTGAGTAGATAGCAGTGCAACTTGCTAATTGACCAGGCCTGCAGATTACCTGTGTAACCAGGTATGACACAGATGTGTCGGGTTTGAGTCAGGTGTCACTGATGAGAGATATTAATATTTAGAGAATTAAGCAGCACAAGGAGGTCATTATAGTGTTTACTTTGTGATCTGCTGAAGAGGACCTCAGAGTTATTTGACATTATAATTGAATACTGTTATATTCTTGGTGGCTCTGAGTACAGTCTTAGCCTGGTACTGAGTACAGTCTTAGCCTGGTACTGAGTACAGTCTTAGCCTGGTACTGAGTACAGTCTTAGTCTGGTACTGAGTACAGTCTTAGTCTGGTACTGAGTACAGTCTTAGTCTGGTACTGAGTACAGTCTTAGCCTGGTACTGAGTACAGTCTTAGCCTGGTACTGAGTACAGTCTTAGTCTGGTACTGAGTACAGTCTTAGTCTGGTACTGAGTACAGTCTTAGTCTGGTACTGAGTACAGTCTTAGTCTGGTACTGAGTACAGTCATAGCCTGGCACTGAGTACAGTCTTAGCCTGGTAACTGAGTACAGTCTTACGCTGGTACTGAGTACAGTCTTAGTCTGGTACTGAGTACAGTCTTAGTCTGGTACTGAGTACAGTCTTAGCCTGGCATTGAGTACAGTCTTAGCCTGGCACTGAGTACAGTCTTAGCCTGGTACTGAGTACAGTCTTAGCCTGGTACTGAGTACAGTCTTAGTCTTGGTACTGAGTACAGTCTTAGTCTTGGTACTGAGTACAGTCTTAGCCTGGCATTGAGTACAGTCTTAGCCTGGCACTGAGTACAGTCTTAGCCTGGTACTGAGTACAGTTTGTCTGGTTACTGAGTACAGTCTTAGTCTGGTACTGAGTACAGTCTTAGCCTGGCATTGAGTACAGTCTTAGCCTGGCACTGAGTACAGTCTTAGCCTGGTACTGAGTACAGTCTTAGCCTGGTACTGAGTACAGTCTTAGTCTGGTACTGAGTACAGTCTTAGTCTGGTACTGAGTACAGTCTTAGCCTGGCATTGAGTACAGTCTTAGCCTGGCACTGAGTACAGTCTTAGCCTGGCACTGAGTACAGTCTTAGCCTGGCACTGAGTACAGTCTTAGCCTGGCACTGAGTACAGTCTTAGTCTGGTACTGAGTACAGTCTTAGCCTGGTACTGAGTACAGTCTTAGTCTGGTACTGAGTACAGTCTTAGCCTGGTACTGAGTACAGTCTTAGCCTGGCACTGAGTACAGTCTTAGCCTGGCACTGAGTACAGTCTTAGCCTGACACTGAGTACAGTCTTAGCCTGGCACTGAGTACAGTCTTAGCCTGGTACTGAGTACAGTCTTAGCCTGGTACTGAGTACAGTCTTAAGCCTGGCACTGAGTACAGTCTTAGCCTGGTAACTGAGTACAGTCTTAGTCTGGCACTGAGTACAGTCTTAGCCTGGCACTGAGTACAGTCTTAGTCTGGTACTGAGTACAGTCTTAGCCTGGTACTGAGTACAGTCTTAGTCTGGTACTGAGTACAGTCTTAGCCTGGCACTGAGTACAGTCTTAGTCTGGCACTGAGTACAGTCTTAGCCTGGCACTGAGTACAGTCTTAGTCTGGTACTGAGTACAGTCTTAGTCTGGTACTGAGTACAGTCTTAGCCTGGTACTGAGTACAGTCTTAGCCTGGCATTGAGTACAGTCTTAGCCTGGCACTGAGTACAGTCTTAGCCTGGTACTGAGTACAGTCTTAGCCTGGTACTGAGTACAGTCTTAGTCTGGTACTGAGTACAGTCTTAGTCTGGTACTGAGTACAGTCTTAGCCTGGTACTGAGTACAGTCTTAGTCTGGTACTGAGTACAGTCTTAGTCTGGCACTGAGTACAGTCTTAGCCTGGCACTGAGTACAGTCTTAGTCTGGTACTGAGTACAGTCTTTAGTCTGGTACTGAGTACAGTCTTAGTCTGGTACTGAGTACAGTCTTAGCCTGGTACTGAGTACAGTCTTAGTCTGGTACTGAGTACAGTCTTAGCCTGGTACTGAATACAGTCTTAGTCTGGTACTGAGTACAGTCTTAGTCTGGCACTGAGTACAGTCTTAGCCTGGCACTGAGTACAGTCTTAGTCTGGTACTGAGTTACAGTCTTAGTTGGTTACTGAGTACAGTCTTAGCCTGGCACTGAGTACAGTCTTAGCCTGGTACTGAGTACAGTCTTAGCCTGGCACTGAGTACAGTCTTAGCCTGGTACTGAGTACAGTCTTAGCCTGGTACTGAGTACAGTCTTAGCCTGGCATTGAGTACAGTCTTAGCCTGGCACTGAGTACAGTCTTAGCCTGGTACTGAGTACAGTCTTAGCCTGGCACTGAGTACAGTCTTAGCCTGGTACTGAGTACAGTCTTAGCCTGGTACTGAGTACAGTCTTAGCCTGGCACTGAGTACAGTCTTAGCCTGGACTGAGTACAGTCTTAGCCTGGTACTGAGTACAGTCTTAGCCTGGCACTGAGTACAGTCTTAGCCTGGCACTGAGTACAGTCTTAGCTGGTACTGAGTACAGTCTTAGCCTGGTACTGAGTACAGTCTTAGCCTGGCACTGAGTACAGTCTTAGCCTGGTACTGAGTACAGTCTTAGCCTGGCACTGAGTACAGTTTTACCTGGTACTGAGTACAGTCTTAGCCGGTACTGAGTACAGTCTTAGCCTGGTACTGAGTACAGTCTTAGCCTGGTATGAGTACAGTCTTAGCCTGGCACTGAGTACAGTCTTAGCCTGGTACTGAGTACAGTCTTAGCCTGGTACTGAGTACAGTCTTAGCCTGGTACTGAGTACAGTCTTAGCCTGGCACTGAGTACAGTCTTAGCCTGGTACTGAGTACAGTCTTAGCCTGACTAGCGGTGTAATGATGACAATTATTATCAGGAGTGTTTATGCTCTTTAACAACAGATTAATACCAGGATTGATAGTAATAATATTAGTAGTAGTGATAATAATAATCCTTCTCATCATATTAGTGTAAGATGGAAAGTTGTTAAATATTTTGTACTCTTGAGAGGATGTTGCCGTTCCCTCACACAAACCTGACAATAAACATGTCTTATACATGTAATAAACACAATAAACATGTCATATACATGTAATGAACATGTCTATACATGTAATGAACATGTCATATACATGTAATGAACATGTCATATACATGTAATGAACATGTCATATACATGTAATGAACATGTCATATACAGGTTTAAAACAACAATAGTATTTTTTTCAGTCAGCAGAGGCTGTGTGTACCTTTGCCTTCACCTCAGGTGACCCTAAGACGAGGTCCTCCTCTTCCATGGTCGCACCCTGGGCACCATCGTCCCACCCCGGGTGACAATAAGTTCGGCTGGGACCCTTGTTTCCAACCCCAGGGTAATTGGCCTTGTTTATCACCTGAAACATCAGGGTTGGTACCCCCATATCTGGGGATTAATCATGATGATAATGACCCCAGAGTACAAAAGTAATGATGGTGGTCTAGTGTAACTCCTTGAGGGTCCAGACCGCTGACCAGAAACTTGTCCACAAAGTCCAAGAATTAAAAAAAAAAAATTCTTATGAAATGGTAGAGATTTTTTTTCTGAAGGTAATAAAACAAAAAATGCGAAATTTGATAAAAAATTGATGAAATTACGTTCACGAATTTTGCCGTTTTAAGCTATATTTACACGTCGGGAATTTTGCCCAATTTGAGTCCTATTTTCACCCAATTGTGTTGTTCTATTAGATCAAATTCTTAGTTCTTTTGCTATTATGTCTTCCTTTATCGACTCTGAACACAAGAAACTTCCAGTCAACTATTTCAACTACCCAATAAAGTGATCAGAAATTGGTTATTTGGTCAATTTCACACAAATTTCAATATGTGCCAATTTCAAAATAGGGTCCAGAATAAACAATGCAGGTATTCTTGGCACTAAAATAACGTTTTCCTCTGTTTATTAGTTACATTTCCAGACTTTACACATGAACTCCATTTTAATTTTTCTATTCACACAATTTTTATTCACACAAAAAAATAAAAAAGATTTCATTACAAGATTTACTATACAAGAGGGCGAAAAAAATTTTCCCTAAATTCCGGGAGAAACATAGAGGTTTAAAAGGGACTAAAAACCTGAAAATGTTCGGGAATTTTAATGCCCAAAGGGGAAAAGTTTTTGGACACAGAAAACCCCCCAAACCCACCCCACAAATTGACCACTGGGTAAAAGGGGCCCATGGGCCTTGTTTTATTTAAAAATCTTAAAATACAAATAGGTATCAGTACGAAAACCTTTAAAAAGACAAAAGCATCAGCAAAAAACGGCCCAACTTAAATCCCGGGGTTTTCCCAGGGAAGGGCCCTTGGTCCCTGCCCCTTCCTATAAACATAAATGACCTTCCAAACTTTATCCCAACCACCTAAAACCCCTTTTTTCTTTGCTGATGCCCAATTTTAAGTCCCCTTCCCCTAATTTGCCACCCCAAACCATTGTGAATGAGGAGCTGTTAAAATATAATTTGGGGATGAAAGCCAAAAAATTACGTTTAAAACATGAAAAAAATTTAACTAAATTTTTTTTGGGTTAGCAGAGGGGGAGATAAAAAAATTTAAACTTTAAAGATTGACAAAATTTAAATTACCAGAAAAAAGGGGGGAAAATTCCTGGGTTTAATACCTTGACAAAAAAACCTAATTTTCACCCACCCATTTCCCAGCATATACCCAAAAAAAATTACCCAAAAAGGGTTTGGGGGATCCTCTCCAAGATACGATACTACGTGCCGCAAAATGCCCTTCTCACACTATACCACTCACTTATTTATCCATACCTCACCTATGCTATTTGTGCTTGGGGATCAACTGCAGCAACACACCTAAAGCCAATAATAACCCAACAAAAAGCTGCAGTAAGAATAATCACTAAATCCCATCCCTGGCAGCACACCCCCCCACTCTTCAAAGATCTAAACTTACTCCCAGTTCAGTACATCCACACTTACTACTGTGCAATCTATATCTACAGGGCCTTAAACTCTAATATCAACCTTGACCTAAACGCTTTCTTGATAGTTGTGACAGAACCCCCAGGCATAACACCAGACACAAACATCTCTACGACATTCCCCGTGTCCGACTAAACCTTTACAAAAATTCAATGTATGTCAAAGGCCCTAAAATCTGGAATACCCTACCTGAGAACTCTAGAACTGCAGACACATTCATCACCTTCAAAACTACCATTAGAAAACATCTTATCTCCCTGATACACCCCGTCAACTAACTACACGAATACCACCTGGTGGTTCAACTTACACTCGCTCACTCATTTGACCATAAACAGAAATATTAATCTCAGTCTTAAAATAATGAATCCTGTGATACTCCAATACTGAAACTATGTACTGTGCCAAAACAAAAGCATTCACATTGCTAAACTCATAAACTAGTATTTAGTCACTTAGCCATAATACCAACTTACCTCATAATTTGTAATATTTTACAATTAAGAATAAAACTAAGTCTGCCCGAAATCCCTAGCCATGCTAAGCGTTTCTAGTGGTACACTCTGTAATCACAATTTTACTACATGTAAACCAAAACAAACCAAATTTCTGTAAACCCAGCATTGTAATCCTTATAGAGAATAAACTTTGAATTTGAATTTGAATTGAATTGTGACGAAACAGGCCTCTTTTGGAAGAAAATGCCAAAGAGGACCTTCATTACACAAGAGGAAAAGGCAATGCCAGGACACAAGCTTATGAAAGCCCGGGCTGACGCTAAGTTCTGTGCTAATGCTAGGGGGGATTTCAAAGTGAAGCCATTACTAGTGTACCATTCTGAAAATCCCAGAGTGTTCGGGAAAAAAACAATGTTATGAAGAGTAAATTGTGTGTGTTTTGGAAATCTAATAGTAAGGCATGGGTCACGGGGGAAATTTTTCGAGGGGTTCAATGAAGTGTTTGGCCCTAGTGTGAAGGAGTATCTCCTGGAAAAAAAATTGGATCTCAAGTGCCTCCTAGTAATGGCAATGCACCTGCTCATCCTCCAAACTTGGATGACCAAATTTTTCGAGGAGTTTGGGTTCATCACAGTAAAGTTCTTGCCCCCAAATACCACTCCTCTCCCCCAAACCCCATGGACCAGCAGGTTATTGAAAACTTAAAAACTCTACACAAAAGCAATGTTTCACAGGTGCTTGACTGTGACCACAGACACTCACTTGACCCTAAGGGAATTTTGGAGAGAAAAACTTCAGCATCCTCCACTGCATAACCTTATAGGTATGGCTTGGGAGGGAGTGACTCCAGGACTTTGAACTCTGCCTGGAGAAAATTGTGGCCAGATTGTGTCGACAAGAGGGTTTTTGAAGGATTTGGGACTGACCCTGATGAGCCTATGTCTATTGTAAAATCATTGTGGCACTGGGGAGTTCCATGGGGTTGGATGTGAGTTTGGAGGATGTGGAAGAATTGGTGGAAGACCACAACGAAGAGCTCACCACTGAGGAGCTGCAAGAGCTTCAGCAGGAAGAGCAACCCCATTGCAGCTCAGAATCTTGCGCAGAGGAGGAGGAAGAGAGATGGAAGAAGGTGCCTTCAAAAATTTAAAAGAGATTTTTACTATGTGGGGAAAGATGGAAAGCTTTATGGAGAAACATCACCCTAACAAGGTTGTTGCAAGCCAGGTTGGCAACATGTACAGTGACAAAGTTTTGGGCCATTTTAGGGAAGTATTAAAGAAACGCCAGAAACAGAGCTCTCTCCACAGTTATTTTGCGAGACAGGACTCCAGTGACTCTCAAGGGGGTCCTAGTGGCTTTAAAGAAACAGAGAAGAGAAGAAAACCCCAGAGAAGCAATTGATACCTGAGGTGTTGATGGAAGGGGATTCCCCTTCCAAACTATAAACAATCCACTCTCTCTCCTCCTCCAGTCTCCCATACACTAAGAAGAATCTCCAATAAAGGTAAGTGTTATGCTGTTAATGTTTCATTCATCATGTCCCATTGTATTGTTTATGTACTACATCTATATTTCATGTAAAAAATTTTTTTGTTTTAATACTTCTGGGTGTCAGGAACGGATTAATTGTATTTACATTATTTCTTATGGGGAAAATTGATTCGCAAATCGTAAATTTTGTTTATAGTAACGGCTCCAGGAACGGATTAATTACGAAAAACGAGGGACCACTGTATGTACATACAGTAGGGCTCCACTTTACAGCGCTTCACTCTAAGATAGTTCACTAATATGGACATTTCAAATTATGACCAAAAATTTGTTTATACGGCTCCTGACTTGCTAATACAGTCACTGCGCTCCACTGTTTTAATTCTCCGTGAGCTCTGTGTCTCCATTATGTTTGGAAACTTTCCAAAATTTCAAGAGTTTTTAAGTTACATTTCATACTATACTCAAAAATTGCTAAACCCACCAGGGTCATACAGCGCTGTATTAATACAAATGTGAGGAAAACTCTTTGAATTTATTAGACATACTTCATCTCTATGTAATTGTTTTATTTATTGAACTGGAGGGACTGTAGTTGACTGTTATGATGACATTTTATTGTTATACAGTTTGTTATAATTGTTGTGATAGTTTAACATATCTTCATCAACAGGTTACAACCAGACATATGCAGAGCTGGAGCCCAACATCAAGAATGCCATCTCTCACCGCCGCCGTGCCATCGATGCTCTTAGGAACTACTTTACCAGTGATGCAGGACGACAACTTCTCTCTGACAAACTTAAAGTTGAAGAGTCTAGCAAATAATGACTATTTGAAAGTTGATTGATAGTTCTAGGCCTTCCATTTTGAAGTGAAACCTTCATCAAGAGCATTCAAAATTATATATAATATATATATATATATTTTTTTTTTTTCAACAAGTCGGTCGTCTCCCACCGAGGCAGGGTGACCCACCGAGGCAGGGTGACCCAAAAAAGAAAGAAAATCCCCAAAAAGAAAATACTTTCATCATCATTCAACACTTTCACCACACTCACACATTATCACTGTTTTTGCAGAGGTGCTCAGAATACAACAGTTTAGAAGCATATACATATAAAGATACACAACATATCCTCCCCAAAATGCCAATATCCCAAACCCCTCCTTTAAAGTGCAGGTAACATTGTACTTCCCATTTCCAGGACTCAAGTCCGACTATATGAAAATAACCGGTTTCCCTGAATCCCTTCACTAAATATTACCCTGCTCACACTCCAACAGATCGTCAGGTCCCAAGTATCATTCGTCTCCATTCACTCCTATCTAACACGCTCACGCACGTTTGCTGGAAGTCCAAGCCCCTCGCCCACAAAACCTCCTTTACCCCCTCTTTCCAACCCTTTCGAGGACGATCCCTACCCCGCCTTCCTTCCCCTACAGATTTATACGCTCTCCATGTCATTCTACTTTGATCCATTCTCTCTAAATGACCAAACCACCTCAACAACCCCTCTGAAAGGCCCAGAGCTATTATTCAATTCATATTTATTTATAAAACATTTTGAATAAAAAATAAATCCCGTTCTTGTAATTTATTACCTGGTAATTAAATTCTTTGAGAATTTAGTATTTTAATAGTTACCCTTAACACTTGGTTATCTTTTATTATAGTTACCCCTGGCAATTTTTTTCAGTTTTCCTTAATGAAATATCCCATTTTCTGTGATTAAAGGATAAACTAAGAATTTATGAGTTACCCATCAAATATTTTCTATGATGGAAAATTTCCCATTTTCTGTGATGAGGGGAAAAACTGGTAATAATCATTAGAGGAAAAAAATTACAATTCCTTAAGTTATATTTATTAAAAAATTTAACAAAAATTCTATATTTTTACAATTGTTAATAAATAAAACTTAAATAGAAAGAAAAAGTGAGACATTCTGGAGCTTCATCAGTCCAAAACTTGTCAGTGGAAGTCCTGGACACAGCAACCATCAGTCCCTTGCTGACAGACACGATAGACATGACTGACATGATTGACATGATAGACATGATTGAAACAATACACACAATGATCTACCTGGGAAGGTTATCAATACAAGTACAAAACCACGAGTTCAACCACAGGGTCGACAGGGATTTTTCCCTTTATCCTTCATACGATTTTGACCAAATTTTTACCATAGGTTTTGAAAATAATGAAGTGTATGGGAAAAAAGTTTGATTAAGATCGTACAATAAATAAAGTAGTAAAAAATCAAAGTTCAAATTTTTTCAACCCAAATTCGTTGCCATGTTGAAATATTTCCTATATCCTTCGTACGATTCAGACCAAATTTTTACTGTAAGTTCAAGATGTAATGGAGTGTGTGGGGAAAAAGTTCCACCAGGATTATGTGATAAATAAAAGAAAAAAATGAAAGTCTGAATTTTGACAAACCAGCAAGTGTTTGATAATGTCAAAGTTTTCCTTTATCCAGTGTACGATTTTGACCAAATTTTTTACGATATATTTGGAAAGTAATGGAATGTATGGAGAAAAAGTTTGATTAAGTTCGTGCCACAACTAAAACAATATAAAATAAAAGTTCTTTTTTTTTTTCTTTTTTTTTTAACATGACAACACATCTGTCAGCCATGTTGAAATATCAAAGATAAAACATAAATATCAAAGATAAAACATCAATATTTAAGTTAAAACATGAACATCAGTGATAAAACATCAATATCAAAGTTGAAAAATTTTAACTTTACAGTTATATAACATCAAGACAAGGTAGCCAAAGAAAAAAAACAAATTCATCAATATTCATTTAGTCACCATCTTTCCACAAGTGTGTTGACACCAACGTAAGATTAACCTCTGACTGTAACATCTCCACACCTTCAGGGTACAGACACTGACAGGTCCTTGCAATGTGTCGCCATGGACACAGGTGTGTCCTTGCAACGTGTCCTCCGTGGACACAGGTGTGTCCTTGCAATGTGTCCTCCGTAGACACAGGTGTGTCCTTGCAACGTGTCCTCCGTGGACACAGGTGTGTCCTTGCAACATGTCCTCCATGGACACAGGTGTGTCCTTGCAATGTGTCCTCCGTAGACACAGGTGTGTCCTTGCAACGTGTCCTCCGTGGACACAGGTGTGTCCTTGCAACATGTCCCCTGTGAACACGGGCATGTCCTACTGTAATTTAACATACTTCTTTAAGGTTGTTCTTATTAACTCTGCAACACAGTTGGTGGTAAACTGCCTTGATCGTGGGTACACTTGATCCTGGGTACTCACGTAATTGTACTCACCTAATTGTAGTTGCAGTGGTCGAGACTCAGCTCCTGGCCCTGCCTCTTCACTGAATCCTACTAGGTCCTCTCTCTCCCTGCTCCATGAGCTTTATCATACCTTGTCTTAAAGCTATGTATGGTTCCTGCCTCCACTACATTGCTTGCCAGACTGTTCCACTTTCTGACCACTCTATGACTGAAAAACTGCTTCCTAACATCTCTGTGACTCATCTGAGTCTTCAACTTCCAAGAGTGACCCCTGTTTTCTGTGTCCCCTCTCTGGAACATCCTGTCTTTGTCACCTTGTCTATTCCACGCAGCATTTTGTATGTCGTTATCCATGTCTCCCCTATCCCTCCCTGTCCTCCAGTGTCGTCATGCTGATTTCCCTCAACCTTTCTTCATAGGACATTCCCCTGAGCTCTGGAACTAACCTTGTCGCAAACCTTTGCACCTTCTCTAATTTCTTAACCCTTTGACTGTCGCAACCCCCAATCCTGAGGTGTCTCCTGGTGTCACAAAATTTGAAAAAAAAAAAAAAAAATTATTTTTTTCTTATGAAATGATAGAGAATCTTTTTCCAATTGTAAAGACACAAAAAAACGACATTTGATGGAAAACTGACGGAATTATGCTCTTGCGAAGTTAGCGACCTCGGCGATATTTACAAATCGGCGATTTCGCCCACTTTGAGCCCTATTTTTGGCTAATTCCATTATTCCAGTCGACCAAACTCATAGCTATTTCTTCAGAACTCCATTTTTTCCATCGATTGAGTACAAGAAACTGCCCATTTTACCGATTTCAACTACCCAATAACGTGGTCAGAAATTTGCAATTTGGCCAATTTCATGAAAATTAAAAAATAAGACAATTTCAAAATAAGGTCCAGAATGAACAATGCAGACATTCCTGGCTCTAAAATAACATTTTCTTTGTTCATCAGTCATGTCTCCAAGCCCCTCTGATATTACTCTTGCTTTCTATTTTGAATTTTTATTCAAACAAAAAATAGAAGATTTACTGTTATGCAGACTACTCCAATATTGTAATAATTATATAAATAACATCAACCCATTCATGACTGTATATTAGAATGGCTACTTGGACATTTATTGGACAATGGCATCATTTGTTTACTTTTGAACATCGGCAAAAATAAAACATTTCCCATATTTGTGCTCCATTTCCAGGTTCTTTTTATAGTAAAATTAAGAAAAATCACCTCTATTTTTATAATATAGTTTCCATTCTATCAAATGAGACCAAGAAAACGAGAATACAACCACAAATACTATACGAAAATAGACTACAAAGTCGGCATTTTAATTAAAAAAAACGGTCGGAGTTTTTTTTTTCTCATTATGCACTGCGTGCTCCAGGATTTTTTTTATATGGTGCACACTGACCACACAGACCCATTCTCTCACATGTGGGCCTACCAGCTTTCTCCTGCCTGATTGGAAGCCGCTAGAATTTATGAGTATATATACGTCAAACACGGTACCTTGTAAACGTATATATATGGCCGCGACAGTCAAAGGGTTAATGTGCTTGACCTGGTGTGGGTTCCAAACTGGTGATGCATACTCCAGTATGGGCCTGACATACACGGTGTACAGTGTCTTGAAAGATTCCTGACTCGTTGTTGCCTCCCTGTCAGGTATTCTCTGATCCACTGAAGTGTCCTTCCCATTATACACGCCTGATCCTCTAGTTTCTGCACTGATCTCTTGTGAGGAATTGTGTTGAAGACCTTCTTGCAATCCAAGAAGATGCGATCAACCCGCCCCTCTCTCTCGTCTCTTCTGTTACTTTATCATAGAACTCCAGAAGGTTTGTGACACAGGATTTGCCTTCCATGAATCCGTGCTGGTTGTCGTTTATACTTTTGTTCCGTTCCAGGTGCTCCACCACTCTCCTGATAATCTTCTCCATGGCTTTGCATACTATACACATCAGTGACACTGGTCTGTAGTTTAGCTCCTCTTTCCTGTCTCCTTTTTTAAAAAAGGGAGCTACATTTGCCGTCTTCCATACCTCAGGTAGTTCCCCAGTTTCAAGGGATGTGTTGAAGATTGTGGTTAATGGGACACACAGCATTTCTGCTCCCTCTCTAAGGACCCACGGAGAGATGTCCGGTCCCATTGCCTTTAAGGTATCAGGGTCACTTAGCAGCTTCTTCACCTCCTCCTCAGTTGTGTATATGTCATCCAGCACTTGGTGTATTCCCTGTTGGTGTCCCCCTCTGTCCTGTCTTCCCAGAGTCCTTCCTGTCCCCACTGTGAATACTTAAATCTCTTGTTGAGCTCCTCACATACCTCTTGATAGTTTCGTGTGAGTTATCCACCTTCTTTCCTCAGCCTGATCATCTGGTCTTTGACTGTTGTCTTTCTCCTAATGCGGCTATACAGCAGTTTTGGATCAGACTTGACTTTTGATGCTATGTTGTTTTCATACTGTCGCTGGGCCTCAATCCTTATCTGTGCATACTCGTTTCTGACTCTTCGACTGATCTCCTTATTTTCCTGGGTCCTTTGCCTTCTGTACCTCTTCCATTCTCTAATGCACTTAGTTTTTGCCTCCCTACACCTTTGGGTAAACCTGGGTACACTTGATCCTTGGTATGCTTGATCCTGGGTACACTTGATCCTGGGTATGCTTGATCTTGGGTACACTGGATCCTGGGTACACTGGATCCTGGGTACACTGGATCCTGGGTACACTGGATCCTGGGTACACTGGATCCTGGGTACACTGGATCCTGGGTATACTGGATCCTGGGTACACTTGATCCTGGGTACACTGGATCCTGGGTACACTTGATCCTGGGTACACTTGATCCTGGGCACACTTGACCCTGGGCACACTGGATCCTGGGCACACTGGATCCTGGGTACACTAGATCCTGGGTACACTGGATCCTGGGTACACTTCCTTGCAATACTTGACAGCAGTGCTATGGTCTGCAATTTCTTGTTTCATGCAACAGTATACAACTGTGCAATAGAGGAACGGTGTTTAAGAGGCACGTAAGTTCCACTACCTTCTTATAACATGTTCATTTTTCCACTATAATCTACCTTGTCCATAATTACCAACACATTTACTTTGTTTTGTAAGGTGAAGTCCAGCATCTTTACTTAACCCAGGGTATAAGTTAACAAATCTTTGAGGACACTTGTGCTGTTGAGGTTACAATTGTGTTGAAGAGGTCTGAGCACAGCTCTGACATCTACAACACAATTGTGATCTCTATAATGCAACTGTGACCTCTACAACACAACTGTGACCTCTACAACACAACTGTGACCTTTACAACACAACTGTGACCTCT